TGATGGCATAGCTTTTTTCTCCATTTTCAGCTCCTATCTCATGACTTTCAGGCATATTTTACATGTTTTTAAAGTCATAGGTATTTTGATATGGTGATAGAGCAAAGCTACTTCTGAAGCAGATAGTGAATAGTATTGCCATCAGTGGGAGATTTATATTAGCATTAAAGGACTTTAGGGCAAAGAAGATTATGTCAATTCCTAAAATAGATAAGACTGTAGAACTGTAATTCTTTACAAACTTGGATCTCTTCCATACAAACTGCCTTGAAAAAGTGTGTTATAATAAGGGTAAAATATCAAGAGAGGAAAACAGAACAGATTTTTAAATCTTTATTATGAAAATAATGTTTCACAATTTTCTATCTCAAATTGAGGCACTAGCTGCCTCAGTATTTAACTCACAATATTTATTTTTTGGTAACTTGTGAGTTAAATATTCCTTGTCATACTGAAAATTCATTACACATACAAAAACAACTGTAGAATTTGGAGCTAGAAATTTTAGATATATCTTGGTCAAACCTTTCACTTACATGTGAAGAGAAATGGAGGGCTAAGGAGGATACATGTTGCTGTAGATCACCATCAAATTTCCTTCTTGGGGATCCTCACACAAGAACCTCTGTGTTCACTATTTAGGAGACATACATATTATGTGCATTCCTATAAGCTTAGGGATTTTAGTTTGTTAGCTTCCCAGATGGTATGGTTGGATAAAATAGTGATGTTTACCTAGTGAATATTTTATAAGTCTTAAAACAATTTTAAATAGTTTATGGGATTTTGAGACTAAAATATTTAGTCATTGGAACTTCACTTTAATCCCATTTATAGAGGAGTTTTCACTATGAAGTAGATGGATCCATCATGGTCCTATATTAATGACATTTAGTCACCAAAGTGCAAAATGACCTTTTTGTGAAATGACATGATTTCTAAAGCAAGGAGCATTGGGAGCAGCATTACAGGCAATACCCAGCATGTAATTAGAGGTTTAATCAGAATTTGGCTAAGCAAAATAACTGTACATAGAATAAAAGGCAATTCCTCAGGAAATGAAGCCACCATGAGTGAGCATGTATAGTTATTACATATATATGTAATATATATAATATATGTATATATAACATCTATAATATACATATGTCTGTATATTGTATATAATACTTCCTACATTTTTACAGTCTTTAAAATTCATTTATTGTAGTGGTCACAAATTATTTTATCAAGGTCATAGAACATTAATTTTCAACCTATCCATACTTCTATACTTGATCAATTATATTTTCAAATTTTTTATGTAAATATAAAACAATGCAGATCTTTACACATGGATTTCTTACTGACATGTTGATATACAATATTACATTGGTTTTAAGTATACAACCGTGACTAGGCAATTATATACATTACTAAGTGCTCAGAGTGTTCAGTGTGGTACGTGTAGTCACCATCTGTCAACACACAAAGATATTAGAATATTATGGATTATATTCCCTATGCTGTACTTCCGTCCCCGTGACTAATTTATTTTATAATTGGAAGTTTGTGCCTCTTTAGTCCCTTCACATATTCATCCCCCCAAGCCCTCTCCCCTATGGACACACCAGTCTGGTTCTCTGGATTTTTCTCAATATTTAAAATTATACCAGTTTTCTAGGGCTGGTGTAGCAAAGTACCACAAACTGAATGACTATGAACAATAGAGATTTATTGTCTCACATTTCTGGAAGCTGAAAGTTTGAGATCAGGGTATCTCTGTATGGCAATGCTCCCTCTGAAAATGTCAGGGAAGGTTCCATCCAGGCCCCTGTCCTAGCTTCTGGCAGGCAGTTCTACAGCTTGTGCAGCGTAACTCCAACCTTTAAATGATGTATTTTTTGTGTGTGTCTGTCTCCAGATCCTCCTTTTCATAAGGATACCAGTCATATTGGATTGGGGACCATCTTACTCCCGTAGGTTATGTAGGGTTAGGACCTCAACATATGAATTTGGGGGGAAACAATTCAAAACAAAATAAAAATAATTCCTTGAGTTCAAAAAAGGAATTTCTTCACCAAAACAAAGTCCAGTGTTGGATATCACTAAAAGTTTTTTAAAAGTTTTAATTGAAGTTTTCAAAGTTACCAACCTTATATCAGAGTATCTGATTCATGACACCCTCAAAAGCCTTGGGTATTTTTAAAATATAATTAAAATATCATTACCTTAGTCTTTTGTAATCATGATTAGGCATAGTTTTAACCAATCATTTTTCATGCTTATTTACCACTGTTGCATTCTAATTTGTGAATTATCTGGTCACATTCTCAACCATTTATTTATTGGGATTAGGATAATTTCTTACAGACAGGTAAAAGTTCTTTTTATACTGAGCATATTCATTTACATGTTTTTATTATGTAAATTTTATTTTTCTTTTTAATTGTTTTTATATACAAAAGTACGAAATGGACATAACAACTTTATCAAAACTTGTGGTACTTCTAAATTTAATGTATTTTCTCATTCCATTAGGTTAATAAATATTCCTTTTTTTTAACATTTATTTTATATGTAATTATTTAATATATGTATAACTTCATGGAATATATGTGAGATAAGGATACAAATTAATATTACAATACTTAATTTATGTTCTAAGTATCATTTATTAGTACTTCTCTTTGTCTTTGATAACAGTATGCCTTTCTTTTTCATTGGATTCTTAAGTATAAGGATTACTTCACTATATTCTGTTTTACTAATCTTTTAATAAGTTATTTTTCTGGCATCATAATGTTTTAGCTATTATAGATTTTAATATTTGTATAAACTCTCCTTATAATTCTCCTTTTAAAAAATTTAGATGCCTTCACTTATTAATCCAATTATGTTTGAAATTAGGATACTTTCAAGGTACAATTTACCATTAGGATTTTAACTGTTTAATCTATAGATCTATTAGAAAGTAATTCATGATGTATGAATGAAATATTGAATGAATCAGATGAAAAAGTTGAAGTATATTATCAGATATCACAGCTGAAAAATAATTGACTTTTTTAGGATTTCCTTTATTCAGTGGACAGTTAATATGGAAGCCAGTTACCAGTGAGAGACAATGTCAGTATTGGATATTTAAAATCAGATCTCATGTCGTTGTTTTTCCAGCTAGTTATTGTTAGTATGCAGGAGATAACTTTTTATTGTTACTATTTGGTTTGTGTGTTGATTATATGTATTCTCTTTGCTACCTATTTTATTAACCCAAATAGGCTTCTCGGTGATTTTGTTTGTTTTTTTCTGAGTTTAAAATTATAATTCTTGAAAAACAACCTTTGTATTTTGCCTTCTAACATTTTTTTTTCTATTACATGTTTTAATATATTGTCAGAATTTCCAGAAATAAGTTAAAATGAAGGTGGTGGACAATTGTGTTTTGCTTTTAATGACAATGGGATGCCCTAATATTTCACACTAAAGTTGTTAACTCTGAAAGTAAGATGTATTTTAACACATTCAATATAAAGAAGATGCATTGCAATAGTATTTTAAGTACATATAGTAGTTATTTAGAAGCTTTTGAAGTTTTATCAAATGACTTTTTGGTATCTATTGAAATGCAGGTACATATTTCTGACCAATTAATATTCATATCAAATTATATTATGCTTTTAAGTTACAGTTGTGAAAAAATCTTCATGGATATATTATTCAAATATAATGATGAATTTTCTATATTTTAAAATATGTATTTTAAAATATTTATGGCCATAAATAAGATTGGCCTTTTATTGCTTTGTTTTCCTTTACCCTTTTTATATTCAAAAGTATAACTTTGAGATATTATAAAATCTCTAAAATATTGCACAAAAGTATTTAATTAATCAACCATACTTAGAGTCAAGAAAACAAATTCATTTCAGATTCTCATCAGTAAAGATCATAACTGAACTCCATGACCTTGGACAAATCTTTATCTCTCTGGGACTCATCTATAAAAATGAGGGGTTTGGACCACATGAATCCCAAGGTTACTCTAGCTTTAGCTTTCCTGGTAACTTTTATTCTTAGAGAAGTCCCTCCAGCTTTATACTAATAAAAAATGCTGAATTAATAAGTTAAGGATCAGTAGTACTAAGATAGGAATGGACCATGCCATCATGACCCTGGAAGATTTAGATTTGAGTTTTTAAAAAAAATCATTTGTTCATTATTCATCTACATGTTCCCAGGAGCAGTGGAAACAGAAATGGTGACCCTGTGTTTTTTCTTAAATTGCACTGGAGAGCTGGGTGCCAGTCACCTCTCTGTTTCATTCAATTCATTTGGAACATTGGATCTAAAGAGCAGCATATGAAGGCTCAGGATCCCCAATCTGTGTCCTGCTTCTGCTATTTACTGGCATTATGATCATAAGTCATTTAACCCCTTCAGGCATCATTTTTCTCATTTGCAAGGTGGAGTATATTTAATCTTCTAGCTCTCAAGTTCTATGATATGAGAAGCCATAAATAAATAATCCCTTAATAAAACATCTTTAATGTAGTCATCTGAGGTTTGCTTTCACATGGATTGATCTCAAGGGATCCTCTCAACTTTGGAGGCAAATAGGCAACGTATTAGTGACCTTATTGCAGTTGGGTCTAGACTCTAGACTGCAGAGGACTTGGTAGTTTGCCCAGTGTGCTTGTAAGTGGCAGGGCCCCGGATGACACCTAGGGCTTCTGATTCTTCAACTGTGTTCTCTTCCGTACATGACACTTTGTCTTTCATTAAACCCCGTAATCACCCTTTGATACTTTTCAAGCATTCTGGCACATTTTCTGGCATATTTTTAAAATTGTGAGGACCAACTCTTCTCCCTTGGGGTTCAGCATTGAAATTCTGTTCATTTTTTAAAATAATTTTAAACAATGCAACATAGTAACACTTTGATCATGTATAAGTTTAAATGATTTCTTGAAAAGTACTCCATCTAACATTTATCCCTTCTTTTCCTGATTCTCTTTCAGATAGCAGTTCTGTGGATGAAAAGGTTTTAAATCATACTTTTTCTTCCCTTCCGAGGGATTTTGTCTTTCGTACATGTTTGTTTGTGATATATTAGACCTGTTTTGGTTCCTATGTTTTAGTTGTGAAATGTGCATGTTATCCCAGCTTTCCATTCTTTGGTTGTCCTTTAAGTGTGCCCCCGATATGTTGCATTTCTGAAGAGGTTACACCTTGCCAGCTGCGCTTACTTTAGCTTAACACGTGCCAACCTAGGGGTCTGCTACGGTCAAACTCAGCATCTGTTATTAAGTCCGGCTGATCACGATCTCCCTGACTGATTTAATATCTCTAGCATCCATACCAAGTTTTAAGGGCAAATAGTATATGGAATATATTTTCCTGGACTCTGCCAGTGCTTTTGTTAAAATGCTGACAGCTGATTTCAAAACTTCCACTCACAAAAACACAGTCGCTTTGACTTGGAGCTGACCCTGCTTAGCATCTGTCATAGTAGGTGTTACGTGTCTAGTGCAGTTGACCCTTGTCCCAAACTCACATATATGGAGTTATTGTATGCTAAAAGCCTGTTTGTTTTGTTTTGTTTTGTTTTCATTTTTCATTTAAGGCTCGAATAGTGAGTGGCAATGATTTGGATGCTTCCAAATTCTCTGCACTCCAGGCGTTTGGTGGGTAAGTACATTCATAGCCTTTCTAATTCAATCTTTTCATCAGTGGTACTTGGCTGTGCTTTTGACATGCATTTTGAATGTAGGGTGTTACATGATGTTGCTTTCTTCCCCCCACAATAAAGTAGCTTTTATGATGTTTTTAAAAAATATATAGATGTATGTCTGTGTAATTATGTATACATGTA